AGCACAAGAACTCTCCATCCCTCTGAAGAAGAAAGCGGGCAGAGGAGGCAGGGAGCCGGTGTGGCTCAGTAAGGACCTGCTGGGCGTGCTGAGGGCGAAGAAAGGTGTATACAGGCTCTGGAAACAAGGCCGTGTCACCTGGGAAGAGTACAGGGATGCTGTCTGGGCTTGCAGAAGTGCGATCAGGAAAGCCAAGGCACGGGCGGAACTGAACTTGGCGAGGGACGTGAAAAACAACAGGAGGAAGTTCTACAGGTACATTGGCCACAAGAAATGTGCCAAAGCGAGTGTGTCTCCTTTGGTAAATGTAAAAGGAGAACTCGCTTCAAGGGACAGTGAGAAGGCTGAGGTACTGAATGAGTTCTTTGCCTCAGTCTTCACTGGTGGACAAGATTCCAGAACTTCTCACGTTCCTGAGCCCTGTATCCCTAAACCTCTAGGTGGGGACCGGGATGACAAATCCCCCCTGCTATGAGGACAGAGCAGGTCCGAGATCGCCTCATGAGACTGAATGTGTGTAAGTCTATGGGGCAGGATGGTATCCCAGGGTTCTGAACGAGCTGGCTGAGGTGGTTGCCAAGCTGCTCTCCATTTTTGAAAAGTCGTGGCTGTCAGGTGAGGTCCCGGATGACTGGAGGAAGGGTCACATCACTCCCATTTACAAGAAAGGGAGCAAGGAGGACCCCGGGAACTACAGGCCAGTGAGTCTCACCTCTGTGCCTGGGAAGATCATGGAACAGATCATCCTGGATGACATGCTCGACCACATGAGGGATGGACGTGTGATCCGTGACAGTCATCATGGCTTCATCAGAGGAGGGTCATGCTTGACCAATCTGGTGGCCTTCTATGATGGAGTGACGGCATTGGTGGATAAGGGAAAGGCAACTGATGTCATTTACCTGGACTTGAGCAAGGCCTCTGACATGGTCCCCCACCTCATCCTCATCTCCAAATTGGAGGGATGTGGATTTGATGGGTGGACCACTCAATGGATAAGAAACTGGTTGAAAGGCTGCAGACAGAGGGTGGTCATCAATGGCTCTATGTCAACGAGTGGCGTCCCCCAGGGGTCTGTCTTGGGACCGGTGCTCTTCAACATCTTTATCAATGACATCGATGTAGGAATCGAGTGCACCCTCAGCAAGTTTGCTGATGACACCCAGCTGAGCGGTGCAGTCGACATGGTTGAAGGAAGGGATGCCATGCAGAGGGACCTCGAGAGGCTAGAAAGGTGGGCCCGGGTGAACCTGATGAGGTTCAACACAGCAAAGTGCAAGGTTTGGCACTTGGGCCGGAGGAATCCCAGGCATCCGTACAGGCTGGAAGGAGCGGTCCTTGAAAGCAGCCCTGTGGAGAAGGACCTGAGGGTCCTGATAGATGAAAAACTTAATATGAGCCAACAGTGTTGTGGCTCAGAGGGCAAATGGTATCCTGAGGTCCATCAAAAGAGGGGTGGCCATCAGGGACAGGGAGGTGATTGTCCCCCTCTACTCTGCTCTTGTGAGGCCCCATCTGGAATACTGCGTCCAAGTGTGGAGCCTGCAGTACAAAAAAGACAGGGAGCTGTTGGAGAGGATCCAGAGGAGGGCCACTAGGATGATCAGGGGACTGGAGCACCTTCCCTATGAGGACAGGCTGAGGGAGCTGGGCTTGTTCAGCCTGGAGAAAAGAAGGCTGTGGGGTGACCTCATTGCAGCCTTTCAATACCTAAAGGGAGCCTACAGTGGGGAGGGGAATCGACTTTTTGAAAGGGTTGATATGTGTAGGACGAGGGGAAATGGTTTTAAGTTGAGGGAGGGCAGATGGAGGTTGGACATCAGGGGAAAATTCTTTACCCAGAGAGTGGTGAGGTGCTGGAACAGCTGCCCAGAGAGGCTGTGGATGCCCCATCCATCCCTGGAGGTGTTCAAGGCCAGGTTGGATGTGGCCCTGGACAGCCTGGTGTAGCATTAAACGTGGAGGTTGATGGCCCTTCACGTGGCAGGGGGGTTGGAGATTCATGATCCTTGAGGTCCCTTCCAACTTCTGTGATTCTGTGGCTGAGACCATGGATGGGCCCTGGGCAGCCTGAGCTTGGTGGGCCCCCACAGCAGGGGTGGGGCTGGGGGAGCTTTATGGTCCCTTCCGACTCAACCATGCTGTGATTCAACAAATTCTGGTGGTTTATTTATCGCAGATTTGTGTGTTGTACCCTTCATCATCTATTTCCATAATGAGGGAGTGTCCTCTCTGGAAATGGAGCAGTGGGATGGTAGCGGGTGTTAGTGACATGCTAGCTCTTCTACAGCCTGGCAGACTGTCCGCGTGTCTCATAGCTCTTGCACCATCAAAGGAAATGTCTGAGTTCAGCCTACTTTAAAACTACCCAGTTTTTATGTATTTCTGAAGTGTGCAAGTTAAGGACTTAATATTGTGTTGTTATCTTCTCAGTATCTTCAGTAGCACCAGAAATCTCTTCTGTTAGGAGGGTTTTAGAATAATGCAACTCTTCATGAGCCCTCATTATTTCTCAAAAGGTGACTGTGTTGTTCAAGTGCCTGTATTGTGACAAGCATCTAATTATGGATCCTTTTTGTAGACCCCCAGAGATGCCATTATGTCCACCTGCAGTAAAAGGGAGAAGATTATCATTTGCATTCAGCATGAGCTTCTTTCCATTGTTTGCACCGCACATAAATAAGGAAAACAAATCGACCGCTGATCCTCTTTCCATTCTTACATTTCATTTCTGAAAGTTTTGCTTTGCTTCTTTTCCTCTGAGTATTGCTTCCTACTTCAGCACTAACCTGTTTTCTCTTACCTAATTCAATGTGTGGCATCACTGGGCAGTATGGCCAACCTAACTTGACTAAACAGGTTTCTCATCCTGTGGAAACAAAAGCAAGGCTGGAGGGGATGGCACGGCCAAAGGTAAAAGCTTACTCACTAACTGCAAGATATTCGCCATCTTTTTCCTTTCTCTTTTTTCCTCTTTTTTTTTTTTTTTTTTTTTTTTTTTTTACTTAGTTCCCCTTTTCTCAAATCTTTCTGATGACTGAAGTTCTCATCTAGGGCTCCCCATCCATCTCGATAAATACCTTGTGCATTTTGGCACACACTCCTGATATTGGAGTTAAAGGATGAGAGTGGTGATTGCCTACCCCTCTGCTAGGTCAACATGAGCAGGCAAATCCCAACTTCCCATCAGCCCACCATGGGTCTTTCATTGCATTTCGTGGTTACTTCCACTGGCAAAGGACAGAGGTATGAACTTTGTGGAAGGACTTCACTCTACGTGTTGTATCTAATGCTCCATCTCTTTTAGACCTTCATGGGAAGATAACATCAGCAAATGTTTTGGTTTCTCCTGTTTGGTTTTTGCATAATTCAGGTGACAGTATGCAGCATTTTGCACCGCAGTGCCTGATTTGTGTTTGCCACATTCTGCACCCAGCAGTGTCATTCTCAAAGTACAGAAATTTCACAGAAAGCAGAGAGATGGGTGCAGGGCAAGGATGGACCTGTGCCATGACTGACAGTCATTGTTGGCCTCTTGTTTTTTCCTATTGCATCTGTCAGAAACTTGTGGTTAGCCATGCTTGCTACAAATCCAGCTGTTAAAATGTGTTTCAAGTCAATCCAGATATTTTTATTATTATTTTTTTTTTTAAACTGTGACAAAGTGAAGGAACACTGTGGTGTTGGTATGGTGAGCTAACGAAAGATCAATGAAAAGTGACTTAAAAATAGAAAGCCAATATGTGTCTTTTTGGCTTATATGTGCTCATTCATTTCTGAAACACGTAGTTCCTAAGGACAAATCCACAGAGATTTTGGAGGTATGCTGGAATTGTTTTCTAAGGCAGCACTGTTCCCCCAAGGATACTGGGGCAGCTCTGGTTGCAGGTGACCCATCTGTATCACATCTTCTGGTAGTCTTTCAGGAACTCAACTTCTGAGCCTGCACGGCAGGGCTGGGGTACACAGGATGCTCTAGGATGGTGCACAAAGATGATACGTATTTTGTATATTTGAGAGCTCCTCTGTCACATCTGCCCCTCTCTTTAGAGGCTCAGCTACCCCACTACATGCCTATGGATGAGCAACCATGTTGGGCACTTGGTGTCATTTTTGCCATTACACACAAATCACTCTTGGTGGGACACTTCTGAGGCCACAAAGGTAATTTACCTTCGTGTAATTTACCCTGTAACAAAGTGTCACTGGTCTTCACGGGTTTAAATTAAAGGAAACTCAAATCTAATGATTTAAGTAATGTTTTGTCATGTTTGGGACCATCACACTTACGTTTTTCACATTTAGGAAGAAAGTAGGGTGTAACACCATTCTGGTGAATAGCTCATGGCCCCGGATGCACTGAAATGGCATTTCTCCTCTGTATCTCCTGTGCAAGATTGGTGTGTTCAGCTAAATACCATACACAGTGCTGTAAATCTACACATCTGCAGTCCTACAAAAGACAGCTTCTGTGCACTTTTGCTTGGGAAACAGGAAAGGAGAAGATGCAGTGAAGGCAGCAGTCACTGGAAATATCCGTTGTGTGTACAGATGTCATTCTGTATTATTTGTGCCAGGTACAGCAGCTGTTGCTGAGCCTTTCCCTGCTCAGTGCAGTGCAGCTTGTTTTGATATCTCTATTCGAGTCAGCTGGGCCGTGAGGAATGAGCGCCGAGATCCGTTGCATTGCTCCAGTTTGGCCCTGTCAGGAGCTCAGGGAATTTTTCCCCTTCCCTGCCCACACCTGGGCCCAGGATGGCTTTGAGCAGTGAGTCAGCAACAAACTGTTGCCTTGAATCCCTTGAAAAAGGATAGAGGCAGTTAATCCTAAAATGTGCCTCTGGAAGAAGACGCAGAGAAGATGCATAACAGAATGGCAGTGAGCTGGGGGTGGTCGCAGGCTGGGTAGAATCATAGAATCAGCAAAGCTTGGCTCCACAACCGCCTCTCTGACCATCCTGCTGTCCTTGTTTTCCCTTTTTTGTTGCTGTCTCCTGCAGGCAAGGCCTACGCCCCGGAGTTCTACTATGACACTTACAACCCGCTGTGGCAGAACCGGCCCCGCGTGTACTCCTACAGCCTGCAGTGGACCCAGATGAACCCCAACGCCGTGGACCGCATCCTCGCCTACCGCCTGGGGATTAGGCAGGTGAGGGGAGAAGCTCCTTCATGCAGGAGCTGCCTGTTGGTTTGCTGACCTCTGCCAGGGCTGCCAGGCCTTATTTGTTCTTTTTTATTTGTGTTATTTTACTTTATTTCGCTCTGTGTTGTTTGTTTTCCTCCCTCTTTCCTTGTTCTGTGAATTGGAGTGGTCTTTCCAAATTCCAGAAGGTTTGCTGTCATCTTGCAGGTGTGGTCCTCTGCTGTGTGCAGATCCTGGAAGCTAATTTGCACATTTCCAGTGTGAAACAGAGATTAAAAGAGCTGCTCCTCAGAAGGTTTGCAGAGGCTGCAGCTCGAAACACATTAGAAAGACTACATAAAAGAAGTTTTCAATGAAATTAAACTCTTTATGTATCTATATATCTTTTATATGATCTTCTGTGTAAATAGGTAACTATAGGAGCAGTTGTAGCTTTCCTTCAGAAACATTTAGTTACCCTTGAGAATAGAGCCATCTTTCCTAACTGCACTGAAGTTGAGCTTGTATGGGTCTTTGGAGATTCACCAAGAACTTATCAATGGGGCTTGGCTCTCTTGCAGAGGAATTGATAGCCATCACCATTCATTCACCCCTTTGCAATTTTAAAAATATCATCTGTCTTCTTTTGATGTGATCATTACAAAGCCTGAGTTTTAAAAGCCAATTAGAGAACCAATTTGTGCATTGCTTAAATTGATTAAATGAGAACACCTCTCTTTACTCCACTTCATGGGGTAAAATTAATGTTAGTTTGCTTTTGAACTCTCCACCAGCTAAATCAATACCAAAAAAATCACAAGTATGTCTTCTGAAGGCAGAAAATGTTTATGCCACACCATTTGCCTGTGGTTCTGTTCAGAATATGTCCCTGCCAAATGTTACAGATGTGCAAAGACTGATATTGCCAGCTTGATTTTTGGCAATTCTGGGCATTCTCGAGGGAAAAATGCCTGGTTTGGAAATGATGCTTCTTGGTGTGAGCTCCTCCTTGGCTACCATGGTCACCTCTGGGTCATATTGGACTTACTGGCTGCCAACTTTGGGCCCTGAACTCCTGCTCCGAGCCTGGACCTGCTGCCATGAAATTAAGATGTTCCACTGCCAACATGGGAGAATATACCTGATGCTGTTTGGGGCTTGTTTTTCACTCTGCTGTTGAGCTGGCCTTCCTTAAATTGTATCTGAATTGATGGCACAAGGAGGTGTTTGGTTATTCAATGGCTGAAATAAGAGTCTGTGCAGGGAGGCTAAAAATCAGGGTTCAAGACCAGTTCCTGAAGGCACAGAGTGCAGAGTGGAGGGCAGGAGGTATTTTGTTGTCTCAGTGAAAATCAGTGACTTTTAATAAATGTTTGTGTCATTTGCAACCAATCACTTCTGTTCCTCCTGGTACCCAAGAGGAATTACTAAATTTAAAAAAAGGATTTGCTGAAGCAAAATAATATGTAATGAAATTAGTGGCATTAGGTGTTTCTGCTGCTTTTTTTTTTTCCCCCCATTCCATTTTAACTTACTTTTAATTATCAATTTTGTGTGCTTAAAATTAGTAGTGACTTTACTGTAATTACCTCAAGAACCTTTCCATCGGGTCAATCAAAACAAGTTTTATTCCTCTGTCTGAAGTCACATTTAAAATGAGAGTGATTTAGAATCTAGCAAGCCACCCGGACACACTCACCCATCACTGCAGTAATTCCCCTGAAACATGGGCAATAATTAACATCCTTCCTTCCCTTTGCACTCTCTATTACTCGTTGCTAGCACACTGCCCTCTGAAATGATGGTGTTTGGATCGTTTACTTAGCAATGTTTTTTTTATAATATGTTGCAAAACACTGCTAGGTGGATTGGGTCAGTGTTCTGGTGGCTGGTTGTGGTTAGAAGTACAGCATTATCTTTGATTGGTAAACTGGTTTTGCATTCAGACTGCTGAGACCTGAGCTCCAGTACCTGTTCCTCTTTACCCAGCCTGTATATTGCTGCTTAGCTGAAGGAAGAATAAAAGGCAGTAAGTTGGGAATACATGTGGGATTTTGTACTCGGACTGAATGCACGTTACATTACAGAGCTGTACAGCTACCTGGTCACTGGCCACAGGTGCGTGAGGACTGTCTGGCCTATGAAAGTTCTTTGCTGTGAGAGGTATTATTGGTAATAGGTGAACGGTTGGACTGGATGAGCTTTTAGGTCTTTTCCAACCTTGGTGATTCTATGATTCTGTGAGAGTGGTGAGGTGCTGGAACAGCTGCCCAGAGAGGCTGTGATGCCCCGTCCATCCCTGGAACACCAGCACCAAGGGGCCACTGTCTCAGCGCTGTGTCACCTGGAAATGAAGACAGGGGCTGTGCTTCTTAAGCAGTGGTGCTAAGCACAGAATGAAGGCAAAAGGGTGCTGTTACGGGAAGAGACAATCACAGGAGAGAGAAGGCTCATTTTTCTGCCTACAGAGTGAAAATAGGAACAGATGAATGGAAAGAACGTATATACTAAAGCAACATACTTAGAATGAAAGCCACTTAGGAGGAATGTATGTATGTTAGCACACTCTGGGCTCCACCTGACGGGTAATCAATTTGCAGACGTTCACTCTATCAAGATCGTGGTGCTGTCTTCACACAAGTCAGCCTACTGCAAAGAAAAAGGTGTTTTGAAGCATGGTGTTTCCTTTTGTTATGCTACAGAAAATTTAAGGTACCTGTACATCAGTATGTATATAAAAATGTGATTCAGAGCTGTTCCAATGTATGTACTCAAATCTGTGGCAATTAATTTTAGGGGAGGAAGTGGGAGAGCTGAAAAGGCGAATTGAAATTGTTGTTTTCATGAAATACTTGAAACATTCTTCTCCAGAAGAAATGAGGAAATAAGCTGTCCTGAAGTTTTCTTCGCAGCCCTTGTTTCCTTTAGGAAGTCCAAGCAAGGCATTTTTATATTTTATCTTTTATATTTTATATTTTAATATTATATTTGGTATATTTAATATATTTTTATATTATATTAATATGTTATCTTTTGGCTTAATCTTAATGAAATGAGGCACAGGATACTGTCCTGCCCATCTGTCTGCCTGTCCTGCAGGCACTTCCAGTAGGGTCTGAGTACAGCTCTTCGTGTTGGGTCACATCAGTGGGGAACAGAGGTGTAGCAAACGAGGAGGTGCAATTATGGAAAATATTGAAAGGCATTACATTAATTAAAAACAAAGGAAAAAAAAAGCCTTGTACAAGGGGCAGATTGCATGAATCCTCTGACTTTGTAGGAAGCTTAGTGGATGCCTTGTGTTCTTGGCCAACCTCTCATCGTTCTCTTCAGGACGACTCAAGCATACCCATACTGTCCCCCCTGTAATTACAACCTGACAAAGCCAGAGGTCTCCATGGCCAAGTCTCCTTCCTGACCTTGGCCAGACAGTTCCTAAAATACAAATCCTGCATGGGAAGGAGGAGGAGATCACCATGCTCCTGTGTTTGAAGGGGTGACAGTAACACAGTCAGTGGCACATTGGCCAGAGCATGGCTGTTGCACTCCATTCTCACTTGCTCTTTCTCAGCAGAATCATCTGCAATATGAATTGATTACTGCTGAGAATGCGGCGTATCAGTCCAACTTTAGGAAGGATGCAGAAGAGAATGGAGTGAATTGAAGAGCAATTTAGCGAGAGAAATTACTCAAGCTAAAAAGGAATTTATTTTTGTAGATAACTCAGTTTGTTTTCAACTACATTTAAACGCTTGTGGTAGGGCTGAGGCTCCCTTTGCTGCTGTGCTCCTGCACACAGCCCAGCACAGCTCTGAGCAGTGCGGAAGGAACTCGGGGGGTTGAGTGGCATGGAAGTTGTTGACTAAGGTGTGGGCCTTTCAAAGCCTCTGTCTGTAAATGGCACCAATGGTTTTCTTGTTAGTTTTGACTTCATATAATGAAAATATTAATATTGAAAATATCAGAGGATTTCAGACAGCCTCAAAGACACTGACCTCGCACTCCCTGGACGGTATGTGCCAGTGCATCACCGCTCCTTTGGAGAAGAAATGTTTCCCAATATCCAACTTGAACATCCCCTGGCACAACTTGGGCCATTACCTTTTATCCTGGGAGCAGAGGCCGACCTCCACCTCACCACCACCTCCTGTCAGGGAGCTGTAGAGAGCAATGAGGTCTCCCCTGAGCCTCCTCATCTCCACATTGACCCACCCCTGTTCCCTCAGCCACTCATTAGGTGTTCTAGTCTTTCTCTCCCACATCTAAGACCATTTCCAAGGACAGAGAAGCTGCATTCTTCCTGTGTCCATAGGACACATCTCAACAGTCCACGTTTCATCAAATAGACTTCATGCCATGAACTTACTGGCAGCTTTTCTGCGAGATGAGTTTAGGAAGCAAACACAGATAAGGGACAGGAATACACCCTGCTTGTAGAGCTTGCTCTGAGAAAGGTGTTTTCACCTCTGCATATTTAGGGCAGCATTGCAATTTACTCTTAGAGGTGCTTCCCCAGATCTGCATCAGCAGCCTGAGACCTGGATGTCCCATGTCACCACCAGCAGACTCGGACCTCACACTGGGCTTTCCTGCACCATGTTCCCTATTCTGCCCTCCTGCTTCTACCTCACAATGAAAAAAAGCACACTTACTGCTTTTTTTCCAGTTGGCCAAGTGCTGAATATTTAAATCATAGAATCATAAAATCACGGAATCCTAGAATGGCCTGGGTTGCAAAGGAGCACAGTGCTCATCCAGTTCCAACCCCCTGCTGTGTGCAGGTCACCAACCAGCAGCCCAGGCTGCCCAGAGCCACATCCAGCCTGGCCTTGAATGCCTGCAGGGATGGGGCATCCACAGCCTCCTTGGGCAACCTGTGCCAGTGCCTCACCACCCTCTGGCTGAAAAACTTCCTCCTCATATCCAACCTAAACCTCCCCTGTCTCACTTTAAAACCATTCCCCTTGTCCTATCACCATCCACCCTCACAAACAGCCGTTCCCCTCCTGTTTATCCGCTCCCTTCAA